AAGACAATGGACCTTTGGTGGAATTAACCCATTATTAAATTAGTCAACATAACATGTCTCTCTCTCTCTCTCTCTCTCTCTCTCTCTCTCTCTCTCTCTATATATATATATATATATATATATATATATATATATATCAATAATTTATAAAATATTGCATATATTATATATTATATTTCTATCTCTTCTCTTCTCTTCTCTTCTCTTCTCTTCTCTTCTTTTCTCTATCTCTATCTCTATATATATTAAAGCAAAATGATTATGGAAAAATTTTCCTTAATCATAATCATCATAAATAATTAAATAAAGATGAAAAGAAAATCAAAGTGAATAATAAGCAAAAAGATTTTAGTGGATAGGAGAGTAATTCACAAAATTAATTTGAGTAATAATTGTTGATCCATAATTGAGAATTAACATTGCAATAATTATGTTATGTTTCTAACATTAATTGATTGGAGATAAATTTAAAATTCAGAATCAATATTTACATGAACATCTACACCTACTTCAACACTACAAACAAACCATCATCTACAGGACCACAACCAACTACAATTATGTTTTGGTCGTGGCTGGAATTGGGAGGATGGTTGTGGCTAGAATAGGGAGAAGAATATTTCTAGGAGTTTAGATCTCTTATAGAGCTTTATACCGTGTGATCTAGGGAAGATGAATCAAGAAATGCGTAGTAGACATGAAGAAAAAGCTAAATCATATATACCTTGCTTTTGAACTTGGGACTTCGATTCTTGGAGCTATTCTTTTTTAGAAGCAAAGACAACTGTTAGCCGTAGCTCATGAACGCGAAGAAGAAGCAACTTACGTAAAAAGACTATTTTGCCCTCATAAATAAAAAATTTAAAAAGGTTTAAATTTTTTCGGCCAATTTTCACCGGTGATTTGACCGGAATGACCAAATATGCTAAAAAACAAAAAAACATAGTTAAAGGATTAAAATGTTAGTTTTAAAAGTCATGGAGCAAAATTAACACTCTTCCTATAATCATAGGACCAATATAATTTATTCATTTGTTAAATTAATAATAGTCCGTACATCGCACGAGACACTTACTAATTAAATATAAAAAATCACCACCTTGAGAGGGCCAGGGGGTAAAAAAAATCAACAAGCAAATATTGTCATGTAAAAATGTGAAATATTAAAAGGAATTAGCATTACTTTAAACATATCTTACGTCCGAGAATCATTTATCAATTAAATCATATATATCACGAATACATTTTGTATGAGACTCTCACACTTAGACATGCAATATTTCTTAATTGCACTATAATAAAAAAAAATTTAAATAGTTATACAAAAAAATTACTCTTTCCGTCTCATTTTATGTGACAGGTTTAGTTAACGAGGCATGACTGAAGTTATTTACAATTTAATTTTACATAAGATTAAGTTTATGATTAAATTAGTATGCAAATTGTAAAATTTGTATATATTTAGAAACTATATTAAAAATACTATTAAATACAAAAAAAAATAAATTTAAAAATTATAAAAAAATATTAATAAAAATAAATTAATTAATTAATTTGATCAATAAATAATAAATAATACATATAAAATGAGACAGAAGAACTACATTTGAAGTGTAATGTAAAACGGTGACTCAATAATCAATATCCACTCATATATCACAATTTGCACATCCTCCTCCAGTACGAGGATGCACTGTCAGTATACTAATGTGACAGCATAATATATATATATATATATATATATATATATATATATATATATATATATATATATATATATATATATATATATATATATATATATTTATTTATTTATTTATTTATTTATTTATTTATTTATTTATTTATTTATTTATATGCTGTCTTTTACTTAATCAGATTGGTTTTGTTGAAGTTGCATGCTTCTTGCAAATGACAGTGCATAGACTGTTATTTGTCTTGTAAATTGTTTTTGTTTTTTTCCTTTTCGAGTCAATATTTATACATCAACAGTAAGTAATGTAATTGAATAGATCATATCCTCGTAATACTTAATCGTTTATTATTTGGTGGTATGAAAGCATTAAATTCCTCAGATTGATTATTATAGTATTACATTTAGAATTATGTATATCTCAATGGCAACGGTAAACAACGGAACCATCACATGACAAGTACTCCACATAGATTACAAACATTGCTCGATTTTGCATATAAATATAGTCATTTGTCCTAAGTAATATCACACATTTAGATAAACACCAATCCTTCTCGGTTTAGTCATTAATCTTCCTAGTTCACTTCCCTTTTCTTTAAAACATTCTTGCCAACATACGATTTGTTGTACTTATGTTGTGTTCGGGGCACCATGTATAAACCATAACGAGTGTAAGTAGTAAAACACAATTTAGCGAAAGGTACGTGACAGAAAAAAGGGAGGAATTGCAAGACGATCATCTGCTACTCAAATGGCATCGCTAACACTTGAACAACTGATCAGATATGAATCAAGTCATGGTCGTAAAGTCGATCCTTCTATGGATCTAACAAAGCTCAGAAAGTATATTCGACCCATTTCTCATTTTACTACAATAAATAAATAAATAAATAAATAAAAAGAAACAAAAATTGATTGTGCTATTTGCAGGACTATATCCAATCGGCTATCTGCTCAAAGGTGTAGAAATAAGAAGGCTCACTACATGCAAGAAATGGAAAAGAGGGTGACTGATCTTCAGGTATAAATATCATTTTCCCTAAATCTTTTATATAATAGTTGCAATTATATTATTTATTTATTTATTTTGCAGATTTTATTCATTCGTTTATATATATATTTTTTTAAAAAAATACTATTTTTGTGTAGGCTACCATATCTTTTCTTCGTCCTGAAATCGAGAATTACAAACACAAGAAAAATGTATTGGCGATGCAGAAAGCATCGTTGCAAGAACAGTTGGATAATATCACTCACATATCCAATCTCCTTAAAGGTTGGTTAATAATTTCAATTTAAGGCTTATTCATTCTTAAACCATATATTACGAGATTTTTATGAATATTTTTAGAGGAAATTGATGGGATGCAACGTGAAGTGAAAAGGCTTAAAGAGTTTCAGGACACTCAAAAATATCAATTTTTTCAACTACAAGAATATGAGCAAGAGAAGGAACAAGGCCAACAAGTTTTAAGAATGACAATGAACCAACAAGACATTTGGGGAATTGAGCCATATCTCAACATGGAACTTTGGGGCAAATCCATCTTCAATAATCCATAAAGCCCATGTTTGAAATTTTTATTTTCGTGCATGTTTGAGGAGTTTATGAAGTTCTCTTTTATTTCATTTATTTATTTTTTAAATTAAATTATACATTTTTATATTATTATGGATTTGAAATGTTGATTTTTTTTATTTTTTATTTTTTAAATTCAATCGAGATGTTGATTAATTATATATTACTCTATGAATTAAAAAATTATTCTTTAAATTTCAAGTACCGATAAGAATATATAATCTTATCTTACTTCTTTACTTAGCATTATACTTTTAAATTTGTCATCATACACCTTAAAGTAATCTTATTATATTGTACTAGTAGTTGCACTCGTGCGTTGCACGACCATTCTTTTGTCGGAGGGGTAGGTGATTACACACACAAGTAGCTTGTAGTTTATTGGTATTGGGTTGCTTTCCTAAGTGGGATGTGATGGGTTCAAACTTCGATTGAGGCAAGTAGTGTGTATATTTAGGGTATCCCCTTCTTTATAATTTATTGGCGTTTCATAAACAAAATAATTACACAAACTGATTTTTTCAGTAACAAACCAACGTATGAAAGCGTTTGACCTTGACTTTTGTTGATTGTCATTGCATATGACAACATAAGTGGAAACTCCTTGACTTTTGTTGTTTGTTGATTGTCATTGCATATGACAACATAAGTGGAAACTCCTTGACTTTTGTTGATTGTCATTGCATATGACAACATAAGTGGAAACTCCTTGACTTTTGTTGATTGTCATTGCATATGACAACATAAGTGGAAACTGCTTTCTTCTCTGATCTACTTGAAAGACTACATAGTTTTCATTCTTTCGTCGGAGTGGTAGGTGATTAAGTTCTCGCGCATCTTACGTTTTCCTTTTGTGATGATTCTTTTGTTCAAACGACAGCATGGGGTTTCTCCCAACACGTATGAAATGGACCGAACAGGCTATGATACCATGTTATAAATTCAAAGTGGACCGAACAGGTGATTAAGTTCTCGCGCATCTTACGTTTTCCTTTTGCGATGATTCTTTTGTTCAAACGACAGCATGGGGTTTCTCCCAATACGTATGAAATGGACCGAACAGGCTCTGATTACATGTTATAAATCCAAAGTGGACCGAACAGGCTCTGATACCATGTTATAAATCCAAAGTGGACCGAACAGGCTCTGATACCATGTTATAAATCCAAAGTTGACCGAACAGGCTCTAATACCATGTTATAAACCCAAAGTAGACCGAACAGGCTCTGATATCTGGGCCAATTCATAAAACTTACGAGCCCTATGTTTTTCGTAAGTTAGCTAGTTAGAGAAGCCATTTCTTTACCTGATTGTATGGATTGGGTTGATTATCCCCTTTCTTTATTTGTAATGTTTTGTCTTCAGGGTCTTAGTTAAATGATTTTCATCTACGTAAGTGTCAATCCACTTTTAGGAGTGTCAAAGTAAGTTGCTGCTCGTAGATTATTCATAAACCGCTCCATGTTACCTTGTGGGGCGACTAAAAATTGGACCATAAAAAAATAAATTTCTCTGATTTCGTACGTTGGCTTGTTAATTAATATTTTTAAATGTTATTTTTATTGTAAATATTGTAACTCATTTTTATATTAAATATATATATATAGCACATTTTAAAAAATATATATTATACATTATTATTAATTGTATTATATATAATATAATATAAATTAATACTTGTGTATAAAAAAAAGTAATACAAAAAGCTAAGATTATAATTAAAATATTTGTGTCTTGCTGAGAGAACAATTGTTCCAGCAACACCACGATCATCAACCAAATGAGCCTGACATCAAAATAAAAATAGAAAATGTGAACTTAGATGGCTAGAAAAGGAATAAGAATAGCAAAAAAGTTAAAACAATGAAAATTAGCAAAATTGGAATGAACACGAGAAAGGCAGACAAAAGAAAACTAACTTGATGCAGAATCTACAATAGGAAACTATCATAACATAAACTTTGAAGGATAATTTACACGAGTACACTTAGATGCAACCAGACAAGACAAATAGTAGGTATTATTTCAAAGATATGAACCTTGTAAATGTCCGCAAGGGATTTAGGCTCCATCACATCAATATCACGAGCATGGTAAAATAACCCTCAATTAGTTTATTGTTGCCAATAATAAACTGCAATCCTTTTAAATCTTCATTCACTACACATATATTTATCAAGCTCAAACGTTTTACGCTGTAACAAGTATATCAACATCAACATTTAGAAATTATAAATTAGCAAAATGAACATGTCTAATTCTTTTTTTTTTTTTAACATAACATGTACAATTCTCTATTAAAGAGAATTTGACAGATATGAAACTATGTTTGTCTAAAATAATAGATCACTTTTATTGATTGAGATCAATAAATTGAATTTGACATTTCAAAATTAAGTATAGCATCACCCATGTTGGCATTTCAAACATACTCAACTTACTAATTAAGTACTTACATGGTGAGCAAGGATGTAGCAAAGTTGCTTCTTCCGTAAAAGATCATCACATGACATGAAAATTTTCACATACTGCAAGTATTAATGAGAATGTCAAATCCAAATCATATGTACTTGTGTTAGTGATTGAGCAACAACTTTCAAGATTTAAAATTTAATAGAAGCACTTTCAACTTCTTATGTAATTTATATATATTCATAGTATATACAAACATAAAGTTAATTCCAAAGTGCATACCACCAATTTGTCAAGGCGTAATGCAATAAAAAATGCACTTTTCATATTGCTTAAATCGTTTATATATTCGATACACAATCAAAAACTAACATGTTATCTAGTTTAGCATGGTAGCTGTAACACAACACAAGGCAAAAGTATCATCAAGAGGTACTTATTGTATATCAGAAAATATAAATAGATAATCAAGATGTGCTCAATAGATAAGAACAAAATAAAATAAAAGCATCTTAAAAATATGATATCAATATTGTTTTATCAATAAATATTGTCAGATACAGGATGACCCCATTCACATATCTTACAAATAAACTTACTTTAATAAACTTAGAAGGTATAAGCATGTCCTCTTATAATATCCAGTGTCCGAACTTCTGTCCAGTTCGCTATGAAGATCGTCGACCAAAGTAAACTAAACCAAATAACAATGTACCCAAAGTAGACCGAGCAGGCTCTGATACCATGTTATAAACCCAAAGTGAACCGAACAGGCTCTGATACCATGTTATAAACCCAAAGTGACGATGCACAATGATCAATCAATCATTCATTCATAAACATCTTGAAGGGCTATGGTTTTTCCTGAAAAGAAAGACGAAAGGGCGAATTTCAAGTCTGTCAAAGTGAAGAAGAGAAAGAGAGCGGAAGTAGGAGAAGGGATGGGGGTCGACTACAATACTGGATGTCGATAGAAACGCCTAAGATGACGACCTGAAGAAGGCTTACAGAAAGCTGGCCATGTGGCACCCCAATAAGAACCCTAAGAACAAGAAGGAAGTTGAAGCCAAGTTCAAACAGATCTCGAAGCTTATGATGTATTCTCTCTCTCCCTTTATCTATATTTGTGTATCTATAACCTATTTGTGTGTTTGTGTAGTTCAGCGTTTTAAGAATTTCCAAAAGTTCTTTGTTGATTCAAGTAATTCAACATCACTGGTATTAGGACTCACTAGTAGTTGCACCCGTGGGCCGGCCATGTTATTATGATGAAATATATAAAAGATTGTTATATTGAAGATATATTAGCAATAAGGTTATGGACGTAATAAATAGACAAAATATACTTTATTGGGGTTCCATAAAAAAAACAGTTACAAATTATTAAAGATTTCTTTATAAACTACATTTTGAGTCTTGTTTAAAAGACCTCTAGATTCCCCACAAATTAAGACCTTAAGACCGTTAAGATTACTCACCCTAGAAACTGTTACATATAATTGGTCATGATTAACAACTGGTTTTTTTCAGTAATAAACCAAAATGTGAAAGTGTTTGACCTTGACTTTTGTTGATTGTCATTGCATATGACAACATGAGTGGAAACTGCTTTCTTTGAAATTTAAATGGAAGACTTGGGTCTGGAGGAGTCAAAGATAGCCTTGGTATCAACACCTTTGTACCTGCGTTGTTGCCCCATAGGATTTGTGCCTCAATAACATGATTTCCCAACTGTGTTACTATTAACCTTGTACCATTGCACAATCCCAATGAGTGATCTATATTTCTCGACAGCATAACTGGAGCTCCAACTTTCAAAGTTAAACAGTGGTTTGGTACCCCTGAGCATCTCAAACTATTTAAAAATTTGTTGTGTGGACCTCAGATTGCATATCAACATTTGTCTCCGACTTCCAAACAGAATCATAACTCAAATATGTTATGGATGCGGCATGATTCATATCGTTCATGTATTCATTGACCTCGTCGACAATATCTAATGTTGGAGCTAGAATAGCTCTACTCTCGAGTTGTCTTTCATCCATGTTTCCAGAACGGTATTCTGGGAATGTGCTGTCAACAATTTGTCTAATGGGATCGCCCCCATTTTCCAATACAAAAGAAGACGGTATCATTATATTGCAATCAACACCATTATCTTCACCAAGTTTTCCATCACCTAAATCTGCAATCCACTTGGCAAAACTATCTAACTTCTTAACATCTTCTTCATCACTAACACCTCGCAATCTTAAATTCTTCGTTAAACGAAAAACTTCACAATTATTCCACAAGTAAGATGAATTAATACTGGCTTGTACTATATCCTGTCGAGTACCTTTTGGAATAACGGTTAGAATTTGTCTAAAGTCTCTCCCCCCCCCCCCCCCCCAGAACAATTATTTTCCCTGCAAAGGTCATCGTTGAGCTCCTTGAATTTCTGAAATGCATTAAATCTCTCATTGTTCGGTCCAGTACTTCAAAACAATGTCTGTGCATCATAGGAGCTTCATCCCAAATTATTAGTTTGGATTTGATTATCAATTCAGCCAGTGGACTGCCTTGATTAATGTTGCAAGTGGAATCTTCGTTAACAGAAATTGGTACAGCAAACCTGGAGTGTGCAGTCCTTCAACCAGGTAAAAGTAATGAATCTATACCGCTTGATGCTACATTTAATACGACTTCACCTTTGGACCTTAAAGCCGTTGAAAGTGTCTTCCACAAAAAAGTTTTCCCTGTTCCACCATAACCATAAACGAAATACATGTCACCTTTCTCCGTTTCGACGTCTGCAATCACCTTATTGTAGATGACTAACTGTTCATCAGTTAGTTTCTCAAGCAAAGAATTATGTTCATGCATTAGAGCTTCCTTATCATATGACAAACAGATCATTGTTTTCATCTGGCATTGGCATAGGCGGATAATCAGCTAGATATTTGTTCCAAGCATTCAACAATTTATCCATTTCAAGCAACGCATAATTCTTTTTTTGAGATTCATTGAGAATTAAATTTACAAAATGAGAAAAAAAACATCCTTTAAGATATTATATATATATATATATATATATATATATATATATATATATATATATATATATATATATATATATAATTATTACCTGAAGTTGAGATGTTTCTTCTAGAAATAAATTCAGCATCATCTGATAAGTAATGCCAAACTAGCTCCCACACATTTTCTGACTTAGACATTGAATTGGAGGTCAAAAGTGTAACAAATAATTTCCTTAACGAATGTGCTGAAGACCAAACTGCTGCCTCATTGATTGCATCGACATACTCTTTATCATCTTCAATTAAGTCCCGTGCATAACATGCATCTCTAAATGAATTGTATTGGACACCATCAATTTTTTTAATCAATTTTTTTAATATCATCAAATGAAGTTGGTCCACGAACTATGCTAAGTGAACATCTAAGATAAAAGATTTCACCACTATTTGGGGGCACATAAAAGATTCGACCAATTGCCCAATTCCTTTGCCTAGGCTGTCATTCTCTTTTATCATTCTTCCAAACAAATTTAGTTGGCATCTGTAAATAAGTCAACTGTCTCCCTTCTGCGTATTTTTTTATTAGCCTCAAACCATACAGTAAACATGCTTTGAGCTACTGTTGGTCGAGCTACTGTTCTCTTTTATTTTATTTATTTATTTATTAAATTAAATTATACATTTTTATATTATTATGGAGTCGAAATGTTGATTTTTTTACCTTTTATTTTTAAAATTCAATCGAGATGTTGATTAATTATATATTACTCTCTGAATTAAAATTTTATTCTTTAAATTTCAAGTACCGATAAGAATATATAATCTTATCTTACTTTACTTAGCATTATACTTTTAAATTTTTCATCATACACCTTAAAGTAATCTTATTCTTATTATATTGTATTGTCATACAATGATACATAACTACAACCTAATACACCCTACAAAACTAAACATTATAGATTGTTTTTAAAAACAAGTTATCACTTACCACATGTCAATTATGGTGTGTCATTTAAGAATAATCAAATAGGCTTACCAACTTTCAAAAAAAAAAAAATAGGCTTACCAACTAAGCAAGCAAATGATTACCAATAAAGTAATCATGCGGATTCGCCTAATCATGATTGATTATGAAGCATAAGCCACAAAATTTAGATAAATATTTAATGTAATATGCTCATTATTATTCTTTTTAATACAAATTATTTAATCGATCTTACTGCTTAACTCAAGTATAGAACGAGAACCGTAGCTTATCAATGATTTCACTTTAAAACATTTTGAAAAGTTTTGTTCGGGTACTCCAAAGGAAAATACAAATCCTTTATATAATAAAGCTATATGGTTTGGGAAATAATTAATGTTATAATTAATGCCACAACATCCTTTATTATAAAAAAAAAAAAACACAACATTTAAAAAATAAAATAGCTATATATTATATAATCATATAAAAAATATACTTTTGAAAAATAAAATAGCTATATATTATATAATCATATAAAAAATGTGTTCAATTAGAGTTTAAATTTACACATACAAAATTTGAAATTTGCTTTCCAAATGTAATTATCTTAGTTATTATTTGTATTGTGAAAATTATAATATAGATGAAATACAATTAAGAATAAATCAATGTAATTATGTAAATTATCTCTATAAGTTTATTTGAATATGCACATAATTAGAGATTATATTAACCATACAAAATTATAATTATAATTATAATTTTAATTTTAATTGTAATTTTGTATTCTATAAAAATAATAAATACTTGACCAATGAAAGCTTAAAAATATTATTATGTTAAATAATTTAAAATATTTTTGGTTTTCTATTTTTTATTTATATTTATAATAGCATAACTTTTTTCCGTGCATCGCGCAGGTGAATTACTAGTACAATCAAAAGACAAGAAGAAGAAACAAATGAACCAATTAACTACATTTTAACCCTCTGAGTCATAGTGTTAGAGGTGTCTAATAAAATGAGATTCTTTATGTTCTTCGACAATTGATCTAATACAACTTCCAACAAATCAATATTATGTCCGTACTCACAAAAAAAATCAACACATTTACAGGGCATTTTGTTGAAAAGAGGGAATTAAGGGAAAAATAAATTGTAATTCCCTGAGAAAAGAATAAAGTGAAAAAAAAAAATTACATTGTTTGGTACGAAGAAATAGAATGATGAGGAATTGAGAGGGAAGAAGTGAATAAATACTAACATGCCCTTATATAATATTAATATAATAATAATAATAATGAGGGTAAAATGGTAATTTACAACGAAATTACAATTCCACAACGCATGGAATTGCAATTCCCTCCAACCAAACTATAGAATTACAATTTCATATATAGAATTTGATAGGAATAGAATTACAATTCTATCCTACCAAACATCCCATCAACATTCAAGGATCTTTTTGTTAGATTCTCTCGAAGTCTTAAAACTCACACATAAAATTGTTAGTAAGTCCAATTCTTATTATAAAGTCAACGATCCACCTCTTGACATTAAGGATGATAATTTCAAAAATTTTAAACTTACAGTGGGTCGGATTGCATATACGTTTATATACAAAACCTGCATAAAAATCAATCTGACCTACC